GATTGAGTTTTCTCCCTTAGTTTGCAGGCTAAGAAAATCGTCGGAGGTCTCATACCTCTTGACGTGGGCACGAGCCTGAAATCCCAATTTCAGCCCTCGAAACATCTCATATGTTCCGCGGCATTTCGAAAAACGTCTTCGGTGCCTCAACTCTAAACCGTTTAACTGAACTATCACGTAGTTATCAAAACGTGTATGTCCGATGTTCGCAACATCCACAAACGACGTTTGGGGTTCAGCACACCGAGCAGTGCATTAAGGACATAAGCTTTCTACTGTCCGCATAATTGCTACTATCAACTTTCAACTATATTTTCTCTAGGAACATATCTAAAACAGTAGAACTAAAGCGCGAGCTACGACATAATTTGCAAAATCCTTTTGACTATGTTCAGGATAATTAAGTTCATCTTATGAACTCCCACTCAGATAGACATCCCTCTGGTCATCTAAGTGATTACATGATCCGAGTCAACTAGGCCGTGTCCGATCATCACGTGAGACGGACTAGTCATCATCGGTGAACATCTTCATGTTGATCGTATCTACTATACGACTCATGCTCGACCTTTCGGTCTCCGTGTTCCGAGGCCATGTCTGTACATGCTAGGCTCGTCAAGTTAACCCTAAGTGTTTTCGCTGTGTAAAACTGTCTTACACCCGTTGTATGTGAACGTAAGAATCCATCACACCCGATCATCACGTGGTGCTTAGAAGCGACGAACTGTAGCAATGGTGCACAGTTAGGGGAGAACACTTCTTGAAATTTTTGTAAGGGATCATCTTATTTACTACCGTCGTTCTAAGCAAACAAGATGCATAAACATGATAAACATCACATGCAATCAAATAGAGTAGTGACATGATATGACCAATATAATATAGCTCTTTTGATCTTCATCTTCGGGGCTCTATGATCATCTTGTCACCGGCATGACACCATGTTCTCCATCATCGTGTCTTCATGAAGTTGTCACGCCAACGACTACTTCTACTTCTATGACTAACGCGTTTAGCAATAAAGTAAAGTAGTTTACATGGCGTTCTTCAATGACACGCAGGTCATACAATAAAGAAAGACAACTCCTATGGCTCCTGCCGGTTGTCATACTCATCGACATGCAAGTCGTGATTCCTATTACAAGAACATGATAAATCTCATACATCACATATATTCATCACATTCTTGTTGGCCATATCACATCACAAAGCATACCCTGCAAAAACAAGTTAGACGTCCTCTAATTGTTGTTTGCATGTTTTACGTGGCTGCTATGGGTTTCTAGCAAGAACGTTTCTTACCTACGCAAAACCACAACGTGATATGTCAATTTCTATTTACCCTTCATAAGGACCCTTTTCATCGAATCCGTTCCGACTAAAGTGGGAGAGACTGGCACCCGCTAGCCACCTTATGCACCAAGTGCATGTCAATCGGTGGAACCTGTCTCACGTAAGAGTACGTGTAAGGTCGGTCCGGGCCGCTTCATCACACAATACCGTCGAAACAAGATTGGACTAGTAACGGTAAGCATATTGAACAAAATCAACGCCCACAACTACTTTGTGTTCTACTCGTGCAAAGAATCTACGCAATAGACCTAGCTCATGATGCCACTGTTGGGGAACGTAGTAGAAATTCAAAATTTTCCTACGTGTCACCAAGATCTATCTATGGAGAAACCAGCAACGAGGGGAAGGAGAGTGCATCTACATACCCTTGTAGATCGCTAAGCGGAAGCGTTCAAGAGAACGGGGTTGAAGGAGTCGTACTCGTCGTGATCCTAATCACCGGAGATCCTAGTGCCGAACGGACGACACCTCCGCGTTCAACACACGTACAGCCCGGTGACGTCTTCCACGCCTTGATCCAGCAAGGAGAGAGGGAGAGGTTGAGGAAGACTCCGTCCAGCAGCGGCACAACGGCGTGGTGGTGGTGGAGGAGCGTGGCAATCCAGCAGGGCTTCACCAAGCACCACGGGAGAGGAGGAGTAGAGAGAGAGGTAGGGCTGCACCAAGAGGAGAAGTTCTCATGTGTTTAGCAGCCCCAAACCTCAACTATATATAGGGGGAAGGGGGGGCTGCGCCCCCTTTAGGGTTTCCCACCCCAAGGGGTGCGGCCAAGGGGGGAGGAGTGCCTCCCAAGTCAAGTGGAGGCCTCCCCCTTTAGGGTTTCCCCCTTCCCATGCGCATGGGCCTTGGGGGGCTGGTTCCCTTGGCCCATAAAGGCTAGGGCGCCCCCTTATAGCCCATGCTACTGTATTGGACGTGGTGGAACAATTTCCGGACCTCCGGACCCCTCCGGAATCCTCCGGAACCTTCTGGAAGCTTCCCGGTACAATACCGAAAAAACCCGAACTTTTCCCGGAACCCGAACAACAACTTTCCATATATAAATCTTTACCTCCGGACCATTCCGGAACTCCTCGTGACGTCCGGGATCTCATCCGGGACTCCGAACAACATTCGGTAACCACATACAAGCTTCCTTTATAACCCTAGCGTCATCGAACCTTAAGTGTGTAGACCCTACGGGTTCGGGAACCATGCAGACATGACCGAGACGTTCTCCGGTCAATAACCAACAGCGGGATCTGGATACCCATGTTGGCTCTCACATGTTCCACGATGATCTCATTGGATGAACCACGATGTCAAGGACTCAATCGATCCCGTATACAATTCCCTTTGTCTAGCGGTATTGTACTTGCCCGAGATTCGATCGTCGGTATACCGATACCTTGTTCAATCTCGTTACCGGCAAGTCTCTTTACTCGTTCCGCAACACATCATCCCGTGATCAACCCCTTGGTCACATTGTGCACATTATGATGATGTCCTACCGAGTGGGCCCAGAGATACCTCTCCGTTTACACGGAGTGACAAATCCCAGTCTTGATTCATGCCAACCCAACAGATACTTTCGGAGATACCTGTAATGCACCTTTATAGCCACCCAGTTACGTTGTGACGTTTTGTAAACCCAAAGCATTCCTACGATATCCGGGAGTTGCACAATCTCATGGTCTAAGGAAAAGATACTTGACATTAGAAAAGCTTTAGCATACGAACTACACAATCTTTGTGCTAGGCTTAGGATTGGGTCTTGTCCATCACATCATTCTCCTAATGATGTGATCCCGTTATCAACGACATCCAATGTCCATAGCCAGGAAACCATGACTATCTGTTGATCACAACGAGCTAGTCAACTAGAGGCTCACTAGGGACATATTGTGGTCTATGTATTCACACATGTATTACGATTTCCGGATAATACAGTTACAGCATGAATAAAAGACTATTATCATGAACAAAGAAATATAATAATAACACTTTTATTATTGCCTCTAGGGCATATTTCCAACACCTAGCGTTGATGGTGCTGGCCAGGACGCACGCTGGCAGCGCCCTACTTCATATCGCGTCGTCTCGTTGGCCAATGGTGGTGGTCATCTTCGTCGTCAAAGATGGCCGGCCAGAGGCTTGGTGATCGGATCTCGAGATCCATCATCTAGTCCCGGCTGCGAGTTGGGGAGACATGGTTGCCGGTGAAAACCGAGCCGTTGGCAGGCGATGGCGGCGTTCTACGCCGTTACCTTGATGGAGGCATTGTCGTGTATCTACTATCGACCCACTCGTGTTGCTCTGGGGGAAACCCTAGGATATGGTGTTTCAGATCGGACGATGGCGGCACTGCGGTGTCGTTTCTCTCGTGGGAGCATCATTTGTGGAGCAGCGCTGGAAGTCAGAGGCAGGAGGTGGAGGGGCTTCGTCTTGCACGGAGCTTCGGTGGAGATGTCAAGCCATGCCTGACCGACAGGTGCTACGCTTTGTCATGCCTGGTCGGCAGGTGCTACGCACGACAGATCTTCCAAAGACTTCAAGCTGTGTCGGCTGGTGGTACTTGGCAGCATGGTGCTGAGGTGTATCAGTGGCGACCGCGACGTGCACAGTTGTTTGCGGGCAGGGAGGAGGTGCCGTTGGGCGCCGTGGTGGCGTCGACGATAGATAGACCGACCAAGGTTGATGCATCAGTACAGTTCTGAAGATGGAGCAGTGGCAGTTGGCGGCGGTGGCCTCTGAGAGCACGCCGGATCGGCGAGATCCATGCCCGGCAGGCGTCCTGGATGGGTCCTCAGGTCTTAGATGTTAAGTTTGGCTGCGATATCTGTTTGGTATTAGCCCAGGCTATCTGCGCCCCTTCATCAGCTGGATAGGTGTAGCGACAGTTTATTGCTTAGACGGCGGCTTTATTGTGAGAATAATTAATAAAATGGCTGTATGCATCGCCCAGATGCAGAGGCCGGGGGTCATCCTCCTTTTCTAAAAAAAATTGCTTTTGCAGTTTAAATTGATTTGTAAAAAATGTTTTATATTTTGGTACAGAGATAGTGAATGTTTGGCAACAAATGGTCTGTATCACTGTATGTCCAGCCCAATCCACGCAACCTTCTTTTCAAGCGACTAAGGAACAAAGAATACAAGGCAGTAGCGACACTCGTAAAAAGAAGAGAAAAAAAACCGGACCGCATCCTGATTCTGCTGATAAAGATGCAATCTCACAAAATATACCATACTTTTCCTGTAAGTCCAAACAAGTGTAGAAGGAGCACCAAAAGGCTACAGAGAAAACAGCACCAAACATAGTAGCTGTAACCAAGAAGCAACAAAGCATCCTCCTGCTTACAGTTACATTAAGAACAGAGGTCGCCAGCGTGGTATCGAGCGAACGAACAGAGTACCTTGCAGGATTTGGAACATAGCAGCCAAAGTCACACTGTCGAGGTAACAACTTGGCAAGAAAAACATGACGTGCAAATAGTCTTTCAGTGCATGGATAACATAGTCTGCACCACAGTTCTGCACCAGCAATATTACCAACTAAAGGATGTAACCTTAATCTGAACAAACAAGCAATCTTTCTATGTGCAGTAGCTCCTCTTCGTGTCCATGAACAATCACGTATGCTGAACAATGTCCGTATGCGTTTGGTGCTATCACTGGGTTTCAGTTTTTCCAGTTTGTTCAGGGCCAGTGTCATTTGAGCCGCTCGACCCAGAACTGGCATCAGCACTCTGATGTTCATTGTGCACGTCACTGGTTGATGTGTTGGTTTCAATCTTGATATCGTCCTGATCACCATTGCTTGACGCTTTTGTAGCTCCATCAATCTGGTTCTCCACAGCCTTTGTCTCTTCTAGAGAACCACCATTTGCTCCTTCAGCAGCAGCAGCAGCAGAGGCTCTATCGGAGTTCTCTGTCTGCGTATTTGCAGCCTGTTCAGCGCGAACTTCTGCTGCAGCATTTCCTTCCTCAGGGTTTGCTTCTTTGGCACCTGACGCCTCGTTAGCTGTACTCGTTTCTGAACCCTTCTCGCCATCACCACCAGCCTTTTCTTCTACTGAGATGCTATCAGATGGATTAGTCTCCACAGAATTACCCTTCTCAGCATCACCAGATGTGGTCACAGATGATGTTGTTGCCCCTTCATGTTCAGACCCAACCTCTATATGAACAGTCTCACTGTTGCTATGCCCATAAGCATCGGATGTACTGGAAGCTGCATCGCCTTGAGGATTTGCATTATGAACCGCTGGTATGTTGCCTGTTTCATCTGGAAGAGTCTCAGCGGAATGCTCGTCACCTGTTCCAGCCTTGGTATCTTCAGAAAGGGACCCAGAGTCAGCTTGAGACTCCACTGCGCCCTTTTTCTCAGCTTGCTCTCCATCTGAGCCATTGCCGCTTGCATCGATCTGACCTGCATTAGCGGATCCATCACTTTGCGCCTCTTCTTCATGGGGTACATCATCTCCAGTTGAATGGACATCAGTTTTAGTCTCAGCATCAGATGAGTTGGATTCAGATGTTTCATTACGATGTGCTTCTGCATTATCATCTGCGCGACTGACTTGCCCTTCTTCAGCTTCTGACCTCCCTGTGTTTCCAGAATCATCATCATGGGAGTCAGTATTGTCTTTGTCAAAGACACTTTCTCCACTCTTCTCTTCCTCTTGTTTGCCTATTACATCGGTTGTCTCTGTCGCCTTTTCCACATTGCCATCACCATAAGTACCTAGCCTTTCTTTCCTGCCCTGGAACATGCTTCTATCATCATGGGAAAGCTGGTCCTCGGTAGCATTGTAGTACTCATTTTTCTTATCATAAGAATGCTTCACCTGATACACAAGCCAAACAGCCACACCTAAGAGTAACGTGACCTTGAGTAACGTTTTGATTTTTGATCCTCTGTTCCTCTGCTGGCGGCTATTTGAATGATGAAGCATTTTTACAACTGCTGAAAAGGATAAATGAAAAATAAAGGTCAGGCAACGAGTTACTGAGCTTGATATATCTGGATGACGAAAATAAAATTCGACAATAAACACATACAGTACCCAACATTAAGTATAATCACTCAAAAGTAGCATAACACCTGACAGACACATGCTCCACTTCTGGAGTAGTACACAAATATTAATGCTGCTTTTGCAGAAAGTAAGTACTGATGCAAAATTATCACATTGGGCATGCTTGTTGAAACCACACTCCCATTCTAGAAACCATTCCATATAACTGAAAGCACTTGCAGGTTGCAACTATGATACAGATATAATAGAAACTATGTGCATCTTCTTCATACAAGCATTCTCCTTCTGCCAACCACTGACAAACCTAAGAGACCTTAATATGACCCATGATAGATAGAAATCACCAGACATCGGTCTAAACAAAATAAAGCACCAGATCACCGTGAAATTTTTCAACTGACAAGTAGCTCATCGTATCTCCTACACTAACAGTGAGATTCATCATGTACATGGATGCATGGTTGCATGTTTGAAGTGCTTCCAAACCAAAATAAAAAAACATATATGGAATCAGACAGAATAACAATGTTAAATATCAAATGGTAGTTTATCGTTTCTAGCAGTTTACAGTTATAACTTAAGACAACAAAGTTGGAAAGATGGGTGTCTTGGAAGGAAGGATATGTCTGGTCCTAGTATGCAGGAAGGACATGTCTGGTCCTAG